CGACCCAATCAGGAAGCAAAAAGTTTCTCACTCTGGAGCAAAGAGTCAGTAAGCATGAAACACCATTTATCCAGATCCTGAATATAAAATATGTATGTATGTCATGGCTTGAGCTCAGAGGGCAACTGAGCACCATGCAGCTGCTCACACATCCCTGACCTCTCAGCAGTGAGTAGGTACAAATGAGCCAGACATGGTACCTGAGATAGGACTAGGAGGGGCAGATCACCCATTATGGTCACGAGCAAAAGGCAGACTCATTAGGGAAAGAAAAAAAGAACATACATTTACTACAGACACTAACAACACTTAACAGAGTAGGACAGTGAAAAGCATTGTTACATCTTGAGAACACCTTCCCTCCACTCCTCCCTTCTTCCTGGGCTCCGCTCTTCTCCCGATATCTCTACCTCCTCCCCCAAGTGGCGCAGGGGCAGGGAATGGGGGGTGCAGTCAGTGCTGCCGCTTCTGCCATCTTTGGTGGGGGGAGCTTCTGGAACTTCTTCCCCTGCTCCTGCATGGTCCCCCTCTCACAGGAGACAGTCCTCTCCAACTTTCTCCAACATGAGTCCCTCCCAAAGGCCGCAGCATTTCCTTACACTGCTCCGGCGTGTGACACCAACTTTCTCCAACTCAGTTCGCTCCCATGGCTGCAGCCCTTCCCAAGCTGCTCTGGCATGGGACACCCCTGCATGCTGCAATCCTCCCAGGACCGAACTACAACAGCAGGGGTGACCTTTTCCTACAACACCCCAGCCTTCTTTGGGCACAGCACCTTGATCAGCCATATGAAATGAAACACAGGCCATAAATCAATGTCCGCTCCACTGCAGATCTTCATGGGTGGCAGGGGGGGGCCGCCTTGCCATCTCACCACAGGATACAGGGGGGTCTCTGCTCCGGCACACCTCCCCCCTCCTTTCTTCCTCCATTCCTCCACTGACCTTGGTGTTCACGCAGATGCCTCAATTCCTCCTCACCACATCCCTTCTTAAATACGTTATCGCAGAGGTGCAGCTGATCGGCTCAATTTTTGTGCAGAGGTGGAGCTGACTTGGAGCTGGGGGAGCTTCGAGAAGCTTCTCACAGAGAGCCACCCCATAGCCCCCTCCCCTGCTACCAAAAAACCCCACCACTCACTCAAAGCCAGGACAATGTGTATAAACTGACATTGTGGGTTTTTTTTTTCATTTAGAGTTTTAATTCTGAGTTTCTACAAAGCAAAAACTGGTAAATGCAACCAAATGTTTAAGTTATACATATATATATTAAAAATATATATAATTATATATACATATATTTGGTAAGCACCAGAATGACTTGTCTGATGATTACACCGAGGCAGCTGAACTTTAAATGGTCAGACCCCTCACTACCAAAACTTACCTTTATGTCCGGATCTGACAGCTGATGCTTTAACAACTCAAAATCTGTGGTCTCACCCTAGCAGGGGAAAGAAAAAGAAGTAACACTCACATTTTTTCCACCAAAAAATATGAATTTCATCAATGTATCTAAACAACCCAATAATGTTGTACAGCAACATAAAGAACACAAGTAAGCAGGAAAGCTCAAAGGCTGCTGAAGCAGCAGTAACAGAGTGCTGTCCCTGAAACAACAGGAGCCGCTGGGCCATTTTTAGCTGCTCTCACAGCAGAGACAGGTGTGATCACTTTGTGCCCTTTGGCGTAGGCCCCGCTTTACATCCATCCCGGACGTCACTCAGGTTGACTCACTAGGGAACCCTTTCCACTTGCACAGCAACACCGCCTGGCACACGCTCTCCACGCTCAGCCGCCTTCGTTTTTTTTTCTCTAAGCCTTCAGACGCGGTCTTCCGTGAGACAAAATGAGCCTGCACGCGGAATTACAGCTCAAAACTGGTGCGCCGGCGACGCACGCAGCCTGGAAAAGGAGCCATCCGAGCAGAGCCGCACTCACCTTCTGGTACTTCAACAAGATCTCCGTCAGAGTGCCCCCGAACCGCACAGTCTTCCTGGGCGGGGAGCTGATGAACTCGTCGCCCCCCATCATGGCGACGGCTCCGCGCCTGAGGGAAAGCGAAGCCGTTCGAGCCCCCGCGCGCGCCTCTCCTCAGCGGTTCCCGCCTCGCCTCGGGGGGGCGGCAGCGCGCGCCCCCGCTAGCGGGGTAGCTGCCGCCGCGCGCCGCACCTCCGCGTGCCGCTCTGGGGCGGAAAGGGCGCGCGCCCCGCCGGAAGCAGGCAGCGCTCCTCCTCCCTCGCACCATAGAGAGGCGCGGCGGGAAGGGCTGCAGCCGCTCTACCCCCGCTGTCGGTGGCGCAGGAGGCCGGGGGCACCGGCGGCGAGCGCCCAAGCCCGCGTCAGCGGGGGAAGTTTAACGCGTCCCGGGGAAGCGGAATTGCAGATTTAACCACCACGTCCAGGAGGCAGCGAGCAAAGGTTCGGCTGGTTTCCACGCAAGCGCTGGCTGGCCGAGAGGCGAGGCTGGGGATGACCCCGCGGGACAGCGAAGCCGCGGCCCCGGGCCCAGCCCTGAGCGCGGGTTTTTCAAACGGCAAACGGGAGTACTGCAACGTCGAGGGGAAAACGAAACGGTCTAGACAACTTAATCGAGATGAAAAAGCGCCGAGTTCGACCCTGGGAAGCAATGGGGCGTTTGCTAGACCAGCAGCACAGCTGGGGCGTTTAGCCTAGATTGCTGGATGTTTTCATCCTCTCGATACAGGCCAGGTCTACATTAAAGCACTATGCTGGCAGCTATAGCATTCTGTAAGGACTCCAAATAAAAGATGTTATAGACTCTTCTGACTCTGAACTAATAACTGCTTTTCCTCTCAAAAGATCCTGTGTGCCCACCAACAGACTACTGTTGAGAAAATCATTACCTGCATTTATTTCAAAGGTCATGGGTTTCTTTGGTGTTTGGGTTTTTTAGTTAGGAGGAGTTTTTTTGTTTTTCAAACACAGTAGCTGACTATATTAAAGGATGTAGCAGCATGGAGATCATATAATTCAAAGTTAAACAAATATGAAATACTTAAAAACCTTCAATAACTTTTAAAGCAACCAGGGTATGTATGAATGGAAAGATGCATTTTCTATGTAGTTCTTCAGTAATGTTCAAGCTGTTCAAAACAGTTTTTTGGGGTTTTTTGGTTTTGTTTGTTTGTTTGTTTTTGTTTTTTTAACTCAAACATGGAATGTTCACTTCTCCACCTAAACTAGTCACAGCAACAAAGGACATTATTTTAGCTCAGCCCTCTTACCCAGCTGAACATATTTGCTTACTTGCCACACAAGCTGCTACTGCAATAATTATCTCCCTCCCAGGAACAACATCAAACAGATTTTGTAGAATTTACTAATAACTTTAATTTAATTTCTCCCTGGAGATGATGTTCTCATTTTAGAAAAGTAAACCATATATTCCACAGGAAAACTTCCTTTAGATACAGTCCACATCTAAAGAGTCTAACAACAAGCATTTGATCTTGCATAATTACAAATGAGGGTGTTGGCTTTTTTCCTTTAGTGGAACATAGGATGCTGTTCTGAGCAAGTTTTAAGGCTTAACCAGTTACAAAAAATGCCTGCATAATCTCACTCCTATAACCAGAGTTTGTGTTTTTTGCAATTTTGGCTGTGTTTTTAAACAGAGTGCATAGGACCGTCCTTTAAGTCTAAAAGAATTCTAGCTTTAGATGCAAAACTGTGTTCACACAACAGCAAGCAGTCCTAAACATGTACAAGTGCTTCTTTCCATCAGCAATATAAAAATGCTTTGATCGGACTTTGTGCTGCATTAGACTACAACTGATAAGGATACCACAAGACTAAAAATAACAGTAAATATTTGTTAATGTTTAACTGCTATTAATTCAGTTGCCAGTTTCTATTTAGTATTAGTCTTCCTTATTTAGAAGGCAAACAAGACTGCATGAAATGGTAATGGGTAACATTTTAAAAAAGAAAGGATCATAGCTTACCACAGTTATTGCTGCTCCACAGCAAGTACTGGTTATCTCATTTAGACACACCATACTAGTAACATTCTCATGCTTCTCTGTGATTAACATCCTCCTTTACTGATGTATCAGCTCCTATATTTAATTTTTAAAACATACATACTATTCATAATTGTAAACATTTGAATCCCATGCAATTTTTGAGTGAAGTTGCAACAGCCAACAACATTCTAGCTGCCATCTTACACAACAATCATTAAGTATTAATATGGGATTTAAGATCAATTACATTGTAATGTACAGTGAATGTAAAGCCCTGCTCAATTCACTCCAGTAATTATGACTGCAACACTAGATCACAAAAATTTTTTTTCACCAGACTAAGTATGTGAATGGCTGCACAGAAAAGTTTTGGTTTAATTTACAGTTGCTACTAATCATTCCACTTATTAAACATTACATCTCATAATTCAGTTTACAAGTGAAACTATGGGGAATCAGAAAAAGCAGTTATCTTTATGCAGAACAATTAAATGAAAAAATCATTGTGAATGATACTGAAGCAGTGATCTATAAAGGAAGGAGTTTGGCTTTATTTTTTTAAAAAATGAAACCACTGTAACAACACAGCGGTGTCACATTACAGTTCCTCTAAAAGGAGGAAACAACTGTATACACCTCCTAAACACTGCAGTTAGTAAAGAAGAAATCACATTACAGACCTTCAAATTCAGTGTTCATCTAACCTTGTTGAAAAACTGAGAGCATTTGGAAAATGTTTTAAAATTAGAATATGCATAGAAAAGTAAGAAGTTACTCCAGTAACTCACAAGAGAATGTTGAAAGACATTTCAGGAGTCTACAAGGAAATATAGCCACAGTATTCTGAGCAAACATTTTCCTTAAAGCCACCTCTAGTATTCAAGGAGGTGTGGCATAAAAACAGTTGTACATTAAAATTTTAAGACCTACCCATATTTGCTAATGGTGGGCTCAAACTCTTAATGTTAGTTCAAAATCAGAGGAACTAATGAGGAATTTCTCCACACAACAGTTTTAGGTATCATTAACTTTAATATAAATATTTTCCCACCTGCTACTTCTCAGTTACACCCAAATGTAAATTTGTTAATATTATATAAAGCATTTATAAAATATCTGTTAATCAACAAGGGGTCTTTTTGGTGGTTCCTCTCCCCGAATGCTTCAGCATTAGGAAAATAATTCCCAACATCACTGTAGTAAAAATGGGTCGTCTTAGAGTCATATTACATCATTTGCTGCTATGAAGAATGTACTGATATGCCAACATTACTATTTTTACCTAATTATAAAACCCCAAATTCCAAGTTATTCCAAAATAATGATGAAACTTTACAAGAGTCACTGTAAATTGTGTATTTACACTATAAACAACTTCTACTACATTTGCAACTTTGCATCAATAGTTTAACATAGATATTTTAAAAGCACCCTTACAAACAAAAGTATTGCACTGGCATCATAAAAATTCACAGTGAGTTTAACTTCCAGACCTTGGTAAAACAGTGCAAGAGCTTTTCATTGTGCAAGAGCTTTTTACCCAAACATTCCCAGGTTATTAAAAATTTAAAAAAACAAACAAACAAACTATATTACATGCTGCAGTGATTTTTATGTGAATCAGGTGTGTTTCTTTTTTAGTTCTCACTTCTTAAGGGATCTAATTTATGGTTTGAAATGGTGAAAAATACCCACAAGAAACTATCCAGTCCAACACTGAAATAGGTGCATTTGGCAGAAATATGGCTCTATGTGTCCATTTTATAGAGAGTCCACAGTGGTTGCAGATACTATTCCATAATGAGAGAATCCTATTGCATTGAGTAGGGAATTCTCCTTCCATAATTTGCAGCGCTTCTCCCACTTTTAGAGGCAATAACTTTGACAGTCACGTCTTCAACAGATCCTAAAGATAACACATTAAGAAAAAGTTACTTCAGAATAGTCTTGAAACAAATTCATATAAAACCCTAAACTGTTACTTGAAGTCAGTCTTAATAGTATTTTTCCTCATGTTTAACAGCCAATTGGGACCCAAATGAAAGATCCATCAAGTCAACAGCCCATCTCCAGTGGTGACCAAGTGCAGATGTCTCAATAAAGGCATAAGAATACAGGAGGCAAGTAACATCTCCTCAGTATATTATCTCGACTGCCACTTACTGCCCCAGGTCTTCTTGAGCCAAACACATTTTCTTCGCATCTCTTCTGTTTCTTCCTCTGGCTTTTTGAATCAGTAAATTTTTATCTGTCACATTTGCCCCTGCCAAATAATCTCACACTTCAGCTACATGTGACATATCACTAGTTCCTGCTTTGTCTTAGGAGAAGCATTCCCTATGTACCTTTTCCATACCAATTTATGACTGTATAGACCTCTAGAATACACTCTGCATCTCTCTTCAGGCTCAGGGATCCTAATCTACTTATTATTCTTCTGACATAATTCATTCTACATCTTGAGAATTCTCACCCTTCTCACTCACTTCTACTATATATTTTCTATGATAGGAAATCAAAATAGCATGCAGTATTCCACTAATAACTTCAGAAACTTATTAATGGCAAGAACCAGAAAATTATCTAAATGACATAAATAGTTTCTGTAAAGAGAGTTACTTATTAAAGCAACAGTTAATTTTCAAATACTTGTACTACTTTTTTTTAATTAGGTGAAATCTAAAGTTAATGGCCCCGGAAGCTCTTTTTTCTTGGTGTTTTTATTTTTTTTTTTCAGTATTTTTGTTTTGTTTGTTCTTTTTTTTTTTGTTGTGGTGGAGGTTTTGTTCCTCCTCTCTCGACAATATCTGCCCAAACATGTTTAACCCGTTTGGTTAAGTACATAAATATCTCCAGATGTGGAAAGGATTTAGTCTACCAGTAAGGGATGATCCAATTCAGACAGTTGTTTATGAGAAGATATGAAGTACTTCAGGTGAGCTTACTTCAAAAGGGAATCCTGAATTATCTTTGAAGGTGCAGCCGTTTGTTATCCTTTATTTTACCTTGAAAGTTAAAATCAGAGTTCATGTTACAATGTGTAACAACTCTTATACACTCCCTCTGTCTTGGTTCCTTCTGAATTACAATTAGTAATGCAATTGTACCAAAGTTTGTTTACTGTAGCATTAGAAGCTGCTGTTTACTTGGGAGAGGCTGTAATAAAGTACTCTATACATCTGCCTCTACAGTTAATAATAAACCATAAATGATTTCTAATTAAAATCAAGTAACATGTAAGATTTGAAATATTTTAAAATAATGGATAGCTTTCACTACTAGAAGTTCATTACAGAAAAATACACATCTATGTATGCACATTAAAAGTAGGACCATGTACGGAGATAGCAAATTATCTACTGAACTCAATACCTCTAACTGCCATAATGTTTAGATGAAAAACGTTAGGCACAGTCATTGAACAAATGTAATTTCTTCCCTGCAGATACGGATCTCTGTCAGTTCTAAACCTGTTTCAGAAAAAAAACACTCTAAAAAGAGAATGATTCATTTTCAACAGCCTGTTTTCTAATTGCAGATATAGTTAATAATAAACTAAACAGCCGTAACAAATCCTTTAATGTTGTATTGCTGCTATTCTTATTCCGCTTCCTACAAGTTTTTTATTATGCAATCGTTATCTATATTGTATCTCCCTACTGTTAGAACTTCCTCAAGAAAATTCTGTGGTTTTCATGAAAGAAGACTATTTCCACATGAACTTTTCTGAAAGCCAGCAGTAGTTTCAAGATTTAGTTTCAAGGAGCAGCAGAAAAAGCTGACCTTGTACACAGTGAATCAGAACTGCAATATATGTTCAAAATCCTCAAATAGTTCAGACACTTAGCACAAAATTGTTTTCGCAGTTCGTTCAGAAAAGGATTTTACATAGTGAAGTGAAAGCTTTACTACTTTTTTTTTTTTCCTCCCATTTTCAAGGCATTAAGCATGCTTTTCTTCCTAAACATGCCCTATTAGTGAACACACTAGAGATATTTTGAAAGGCTTGATGATCTTCAATGATGTTTTGAAGCTGGATCTAGCCACTTTCTTTGCATACTGGATAGTAGCACACCTTTTTCGGATGACTGAGGCTCAAGATAAGTAGTTTAACTATTGATTGCATTTATGAGTTTCAAATTGTTTACTACAATTCTACCCTGAAGTTAAATACAAGTCAGCATTTCACCTGTTTTGCTGTTGCTCTCCAAGAAAGAAGCATTTCTTGGTGCTAAAGAGAGAGCTTCCCCTCACAAGAGCTCATGTAGGTAGTGGTTAATGGCTGTTTCATCACCCCATACTTCTGGCTGCATTTAGAGCTCCTGCCAGGGCCAGTTCAGAGCCTCACGGCTGCCATGCCTGCGACCTGGCAGACCTCGCAGCAAGCTCTCAGCATGCCAGCTCCCCCGCGCTCACGCACGACTTTTCCATTCTTAGACATCGACAGGAAGTACCGTCCCTGCCTAATCAAATGTGGGCCATCTCTCTCACTCGGTTTCTATTATCACCCGTGTCGAGAAAAGTTCCCTACAAATTTAGGATAAAAAAAACCCAACAACCAACAAACTGTGAGCGACTGGTTTAACGCGACAAGCTCTCAACTGACACTCAGGTACAAGTTTTCTCAAGTTCTAAACAAAATTAAGGTTTCCTCCCCCGCCGGCTTCCCTTCCACTGACCCCTGTCGCTGGAGTCCCGTCCCAGCCCGGTGGCGCAGCGGGGCCCCAGCCCCCCCTCCCCGGCTCCCACCTGCTCGAGTCGGCGGGGCGGCCCCGCGGGCCCCCGGCGCGCTGCAGCTCCAGGTCGTCGGCGGCGGCGCGGGAGCGGGAGCGCGGCGCGGGAGCGAAGGCGGAGGAGAGGCGGAGGCTGAGGCCGTGCACCAGCCCCCGCAGCAGGCTGTCCCCGCGACCCTTGGGCGGCGCCAGCCCCACGTCGTCGCGCAGCTCCTCCGGCGGCACCTCCAGGTTGCCGGCGTACCAGAACACCCACCAGATGAGGCTGAGGAAGATGCCGATACCGCCCGCGTAGATGAGCAGGTCGGAGAAGAAGACGTCGGCGAATACACCGGCCAGCAACACGGCCAGGCCCAGCGCGTCGAAGGCCAGCGCCAGCCAGAAGGCGACCACGCAGCGGCCCAGCCCGCCGGGGGCCGCCATCGCGGGGCAGCGGCGGCGGCAGCAGCGGCGGCGGCGGCACCGCCGCCTCGGGCCGCCCGCACCTGAGGGGGACGGCAGGGCCACGCCCCTCGGCCTGCACCTGCGCGCGGGGCCGCGCCCCGGCGGCCGCTGAGGGGGAAGGCGAGCGGGCCGCCGCCCTCAGGGAGTCCCACTGCCCCCGAGACGGCGCGGGCTCTCCGCCTTCTCTTAAGACACTCTCGGGGCGTCTGACGCCCCGTTTGCCGAGTCCCGCTTCCTACCGCTGGCCTCTCCCCGACAGGCCCCTTCCTCCTGCCCCTGCCCTATCGAGGCGGCTGGCGCACCTGGCTCTTCCTGGCCTTGCTCCACTTTACAAGAGAATGGCGGGAGCGGGTGTTGGAGATTGGTCGGTAGCGACTGTCCGCGTTTGGGAGCTGAGGTATCCCTCGCAAGTGGTGGTCGCTGCCGCTTCTTTGCACAGGTGAGTGAAGGACAGACACAGCTGGACCTTTTCAACTGTTCCTAGTCGAGGCGGCGTCACCTTGTTAAGAGGGGTGAAGTCAGGATCTCACACCCCAGAAGTGAGGCACTTCAAAAAAAGGTGGTCTTGAGATGAATGTACATGTAGACCTCCACACTTGTAATAGGAGGCAGGTATTAGTAGGCAGCAGGGAATTGCAAGACCGTTACAATGTGTGTCTGGAAAGTCATGTAGACTACATGAACTACGTGCTTGAGGTTGGCTTAAAAAGAATAGTTAGAATACAGCTGCAGGTTAACAAACAGGAAACTAGTTGTGAATGCAAGATGAAAAATCTAGCAAGTAAAACAGTTACGTAAAAGGCAAGATACATATTTCAGTTTACTCTTGTGTCAGTTAATGACCTGGTACCTATCTTTAACACTCCCAAACCCTTAAGCACAAGAACTGTATTTGGCTGTAGGCTCTCTTGCGGGTATTCTGACAAGGCCCTTATGTCTAAGCTTGTTTAATCATGGGTAAGTCACACTTACAGTAACTAGAAGTACCAAGTCAATGTAAAGTCTGACAGGCCTAAGAATGTATGCAGCTTTCCCATATTTGTGGAAGTACAGCATGCCAAGAATGATGCCACTGAGGAAGACTATTCCTCCAGTGACAAAGAATGCTGTTGGTTTGCTATAGTAAGACTACAGACTCAATTCCTAACATAGCACTTGGTTCGCTTACTGCTGCTGCTGAACATTGAGAATCAAGAATAGGTAAAGCCACTTCTTCGTTAGTGACTGCCTGTGTTAACTGACATTATTTCATAAAATATATCCTTAGGAAATCACAAGCTGAAATCCTCTTAAAAAGTTAAAATAATTCTAAGTACTTACAATAAAGTATCTTTCATTTTGAGACCTAATACCACCTCTACATTGAGAAAAATAACTGTACCAAAAAGCCTATACTGCTATTCTTCCTGATTATTTTCAAGTATCTCTTGAATTTTAAAGTTTAAACATAGCTTCAGTAAAACACCTATTGTTCTACTTCTGCCTCACATTATGATGTTAAATAACCTTCTAATTTTTGTCCCTCTCAAAAGTATAAGAGAAAGAAGATAATGCACCTGCTATCAAAGTTTGAATATACCTGCTTAGTTTAGGGGGTTTATTCTATTAGAATCAGAATAGCTCTCAGGAGGTCAAGCTACTTTTAGGATTACATACTTATCCTGATGGCAGTAGGAATTCTAATAATCATATGGAACCCTAAAAGAAATATTCATGACCATTTTGCTTAATCTGAAGAGTGATAGGGTAAGATGGCAGGTCTAATTACAATAGAATAACAGATACTGAGGGAGTTTTAAAAATAAATCAATAATCTTAACTCAGATTCTTTTGAAAAAGAGCTATTTAAATCATAATTCTAGCCCTATGGCATTCTTATTGTGTGCACCAAATTTATCTCCCCATAGGGCCCAAAATTAACTCCTACAAAATGACTTAGTGAACAAGTTTCTATTATCTTCTCTGCATCCCTTCTGCCAAGACTTTGGTTTCATAGTATTCTGATATTTAGCTTTATTATTAGCTGTTATTCTTCCCAGTAATGCTGCATTTAAGGGTTAATCTGAAAGTGTAAATTACCGTAGCACCTTTGTCCTACCAAACATGCATGCAACTATAGTGATTTCTATAAGCATGGCAAAAGGCTTACAGACCAGTTGCAGGCATAAACTAGTCTGTTTTTTTCTAGGCAGATGATATTTTTCTTCCCTATTTATATGTCTGTAGAAATTATTTTTCAGCAAGAGCTCAATATTGTTCAAAACATGACACTGCTTAAGTTATTAACACATTGAATATATCTCAATTTGATTCTTTGTTAAAAAAGCACCCAGCCATATAAATCAGGGTAGAAGTTAATGTAGTTTTAAAGTTTTTCCTCTCTTGCAAAAGCAGTAGTTCAGCAGGCTTTTTTGGAGGGGAAAGAAAGGCACTTTGACTTCAGTAGAGTAGTAAGTTGCAAGGTAGCTGCACTAAGTTGTTTCACTGTAGTTTTAGTTTCCAATATTTACTGCAGTCTTTTGAAAGACTTGCTTCCTGGCTCCAGTTTATCTCTGTGAGGAACACAAGTTAGTGCCCACTTTAATACAGAGAACAAGTGAGCAATGTAGAATCAATTCTACTCAACCACACTGTGTACTACTAGAGAAAATATTTTGTTATTATCTTTATTAAACCTTTCAAATAAAAGCAAAGACTCCTTGCAAAAGCTTGTCCTTATTGAGTTTAGTTTTAACTCTTGCAGCAGATTTTAATAATAAAACTGATTTTTTTTTTTTTTTTTTAATGAGTATGTTGAGATTTTGAAAGTTATCAACAACTTCTTTCCTTCTAGCCTCCATATGGCCACTCTGCTTTCAGGACTTTTTAAAAGGACATGTACTAACTCACATTAATGGTACACAAAAAAAAATTGGCTATTACTCAGTCTCCAGAAAGCACTTAATGGAGGGTTACATGAGCTGTGTAAAGAAAACATTGTTTGTATTTCTTCAAGTTCTTAAAGAGCTTTGATATGTCTTGACAATTCTGTATTTTAGAAGTTACTCTACACTCTTAATAGAGAAAAAGTTAACAGATTTTTCTGTTAAAAAACCCCTACAACCTTAGCTGAGGACAAATAGCACTATTTAAAATGTTGTGTAAGAATTTAACCAAAGTCCCCTTTTTAAATTAAGAATTATGGGGCTCCTGATAGAACTTGTGGTGATAGAGCTTTATTATAAGATTGATAATTTTACTAGCCATACCATAATTGGCTTTGATAGTTCATTCCTCTGTTCTTTACACCTTCAGTTTTTAAATAAAATAAAAATTATAAAGTCAAAGGTACAGTACCTTAAATAATTATTATGATTTCTATTGAACCTTTTACCTTCTGTTTCTAAAGTCAGTCAGAATAAATATTACAGGAATTAAAATGGTCACTGTAAGAATTTATACATAAACATACCAGATTTGCTTTAGTGTATTGATGTTCATTCCCACAAATGTCCTTACAAAAGCTCAGACATGACTACTGCACACTAGCTGTTTATGTAAGACCGAAGGCTCACCAGTGCACCTAAAGCTAAACCAGCTCAGCCCTCAGGGAGGTGATTTCCATCTTAGCTGCTTCTGCCGACATAAAGAATTCAGTTATGTGTTACAAGAGCATTTATACTAATGACATGGTCACTTGGTTCTTACAGCTTGCCAGTTGAATTTTAATTGAAAACAATTGTGGTTTATACCTGATTTGATTATGTAATGCATCAGCAATAGGCAGTTTCAACTTGAATGAATGTTATTTTTTTGTATTTCCTCCTTTCTTGATTAGAGAAATGATGGGTTTTCCCAGGTCTCTTAAACAAGCAAGAAGAACATTAATAAGAAACAGTTTCCTGAATAAACATAACAAGTATAGCTCCATCATTCAACACTGATTTTCAATAATACATACAGCCCACTGAGTTGAGAAATCTACCTCCCTGTAACAACAGTAACTTACTGCTTCTGAGCAAGCGTGACTACTGCAAATATCTCTGTGTGAAGATTTGCAATCGCTATGTCAAATTTATCATTTATTTACTAAGGTATTTATCACCAGGAGTTTTCATCACAAACGTGCCTTGTTTTCTTCAAAGGCTGTGAAGTAATCCTAGAGCACAATTTGGTTATTCTCTAAAATTTTAAATATATAACCTTTCAGTTCTGCAGTGTACATTTTTCATGCCTTTATGGGACTGGTTCACCTAGCCAGCACACCTGAAATTGAAACACCCTTTGGTTTTTCAGATGGAAGAAACAACAGTATTACTACAACCATACAGGGATACCCTCATTTGGTCTGGTAGCAGAAGCAAAGCCCAAAAGTGAAGGTAAGGAGATTTTGTTTGATGTCATAAATGGTGAAAGCATACAAAAATAAAATTGTCTGCACTGCTTTTTTTTTTTTTGTTAAATATACAAATACCCTAAGTAAAAATAACTAAGAAATACAGTGTTTGGCTTGTTAGCAGGCTGCTAACTTAAGTATGTGATCCAAGATTGATAAAATAAAAATCTAATGAAAACAGGTTGATACCTAAGAAAAAAATGGTAACAGCCATTTCACTTTGTAAATCGTGTTAAACAGATTGCTGTTCTTCATATGCATGCTTCAGCCCTTGTGTTCCAGTACTATGCTTCAGGAAGATGTCACTTACAAAATGTTTCTCAGCTTTTTGTTCTGGAATAGTCCCCTCCCTGCTCTTTCACACTTAAAGCATTTGAGTGCTTTTAATTTGGACCAGGAAAAGATAAAAGGTAAGAAACAGAGCCAATTAAGATCATTAGTTTATTTGTTCCAGCCGATCAAGTAGAAGGAAACAGAAATGAATCATTACAGGTCTCAGTGAAAAAAGCTCTTAAGAAGGTATTTTACTTTATCAATATATTTATTTACTAAAAAGACACCACTGAATGAACGTATAAGTGTGTTACAACAATTAACATTCATGCTGACTGTAGCCTGCACACTTTCTTGGGTGCTTGCTTTGGTGTTTTTGAAGACTTCTGGGCTGACTGTACTGATTTGACAGCTTTGGGTGTTGCAAAAGACTTTGCTTCAGGCTTTTTTGGAGTCTTTTTCATCTCTTTTTCCTTTATTGCTTCCTTGGGCATGTTGAGCTGCTTGGCTTTTTTCTGTTTTGGTGATGTCTGCAAGTCTGCACACTCTTCTGTAACTTTATGTTTTGTTTTTGGAGTCTCCAGAGCTAGAGATTGTTTCTTTCTCTTACCAAAGGGTGTTTTCATTTTCTTGCCCAGGTTGTTACCTTCTTTGGGACTTGGCTCCATTTTCTGTATTTAAGACACACAAACAAAATTACCTTTCCATCTAAGAAGCATCTTTACCAATTTTCAAGAAGTATCAATTAAAACCATTATAAATGACAAATGCTTTATATCATCTGA